ATCCCCAGGACGAAAGTTTTTTCCTCTTGGGCCCGGAACGACGGTGTGAAGTCTTGAGCAGACCCGTATGAGATAACCGCCGTCGGATCTCATGAAGCTCGCGCGGATCCAAATGTGGTTTTGGTGTTTGTTTCGGTGGATCCGATTTCCGTCCGTACGGATCCAATTTCGGATTTGCTGGATCCGTGTCCGGTCTTATTTTTTACAGCGGGTCGGATTTCTACCCTGTTTTAAAGTTATAGTATTAAATTAAACCAGGGGGCCGAAAGAAATCGGATCCGCGGACCCCGCAAACCGCCCGTGTTCAGATTCTATGGGGGAGGGGTGTTCGGTCATCAATTTTCCACGATGGGCCCTGCGTCGTCTCGCGCACTCGCATCAACTCCCCGCGCGAGCGGGCCCCATTCGACATGAATACATACATCCCTCCTCCCCCGGTTGCTGCAAACAGCTCGTCCGGTCGCCGTTCGTTCGGCGGCGCCGACGTTGTCTCGCGAACTCCTCATGGCCATTTTCACCTCAAGAACAAAAATCTTGCGTCCTGCGTCAGTGCGTTTCGGCCCGGCGTCTCCTCACCCAACGGACTGCTTGTGAGATGTGGTGTCGGCTGTGTGATAACCAACAACGGATTGCGCGTGATATGTGGTGTGTCGGCTATGTGGTAACCAACAACGGATTGCGTGTGAGATGTGGTGTGTCGGCTACGTGGTAACCAACGAGTCCGAAGGCCAAAACGCTCTGCGCGTTTCGGCCCTGCGTCTCCTCACCCAACGGACTGACTGAGATGTGGTGTCGGCTGTGTGGTAACCACCAACGGATTGCGCGTGAGATGTAGCGTGTTGGCTATGTGGTCACCAACAACGGATTGCGTGTGAGATGTGGTGTGTCGGCTATGTGGTAACCAACGAGTCCGAAGGCCAAAACGCTCATCCCCAGGACGAGCGTTTTTTCCTCTTGGGCCTGGAACGACGGTGTGAAGTCTTGAGCAGACCCGTATGAGATAACCGCCGTCGGATCTCATGAATCTCGCGCGGATCCAAATGTATCTTTGGTGTTTGTTTCGGTGGATCCGATTTCCGTCCGTGCGGATCCAATTTCGGATTAGCTGGATCCGTGTCCGGTCTTTTTCCCAACCATCCTGTGGTGTTGGGTCCTCGTTTTGAAGAGACGGTGCCCCGCGTTCCCTCCTTCTCCTCCTCCCGCTGCCCCCTCCCTCCTGCCATCATCATCATCATCGTCATCATCATCATCGTCATCATCAACATCACCATGATATTCGGCGTCATCATCAGCATCACCCTCCGCATGTCTCTATTTCGGCACACCAATCACACGGTTCGTGGCCCCACAGGGAGCTCCACCGAAGCCCCCAGTGGCAGGGTTCGCATGGCGGCCCCGCCTCATTTTGGCGCACCCCTCACACGGTTCGTGGCCCCATAGGGAGCTCCACCGAAGGCCCCAGTGGCAGGGTTCGCATGGCGGCCCCGCCCATTTTGGCGCACCCCTCACACGGTTCGTGGCCCCATAGGGAGCTCCACCGAAGGCCCCAGTGGCAGGGTTCGCATGGAGGCCCCGCGCCAGTTTGGTGCACCCCTCACGCGGTTCGTGGCCCCATAGGGAGCTCCACCGAAAGGCCCCAGTGGCAGGGTTCGCATGGCGGCCCCGCGCCATTTTGGCGCACCCCTCACACGGGTCGTGGCCCCATAGGGAGCTCCATCCGAAGGC